TTTCTTTCTTTCTTTCTTTCTTTCTTTCTTTCTTTCTTTCTTTCTTTTCCCCTACGTGGCAAAAACCTCCACCTCCACCTGCTTGACTTGAATAAAACCTGAAATGCAAATAATGTCAAGCAGTCTTGGAATTGCTTTTTATACAACCCCTCGTTTTGATAAATACAAGGTTGGATAAAACACAATACGACAGCTGATTCAACATGACTGGTAAGGCAGACACCCTCTGCCTTTGGGGAAATTAAATCTGTGTGAAGCAGTGTGCTCATAGTTCGAGGCTTAATGTTCAGGTTGCAAGGGAGCCCATAATGTTTGGTAATACTAGCTTCTAGATATGGTGAAGAATCTTAGATTGAATGAATTCCCAAATCCCAAACTCAGTTTTATCATGCTTTGTGTGAGCCCTGCAGCCTTGCTTTTCCTCTTCATTGAGTAATAACTTTTCCACTTGATGTTGTATTTTAGCATCCCATTATAAAAGACTTCTGAAACTTGGTTAACAAGATTTGCTTAACATAGTCAGACTTCAGCCTGTTACCTAGAAACATGAGAAGCTTTTCAGCAGGATTGTTTTATATCGGGAAATTAGAATTTTTCCTAGAGGGACAATGAAGCATTTCAATAACCACTGGCAACTTTAAATGAATCTTGCTGAACTCCTTCAGCTGCCTCACTTCTAAATATCTGATTAGTTAACCATTGCCTTTGGCCCCGATGAATGTTCAGGCTTTATTCCTTTGATTTTCATTAAACAATGAAACTGATGAGTGTGTAAATTCCTTGATTTCCTTCCTTGTTACTCTTTCCTACCTAGGTCTATTCTTGGAACTCCCTGCTTTATTACGTATTTATTATTCCAACTGGTGGACTGTCCTAATTAGCTATGGTCATCACTTGCTTGCTATTTTCTCTACTACACAGTAGTGTAACATGAGTTTTAAAAATCCCAGGTCTGAGGTAAAATTTCCAACTCAAATGTCCAGAGAGATAGTGATAGGCAATATCAGCAGTCTCACATTTACATAGATATAGTCATGCCAATAATTACTTTGATTCTTCTGGCATTGTCCCCGCCCTTTAATTAAAGAATGTTGTACAATAGGGATAAATGAGCAAGCCTCTATAGAATTACAGATGTCCCTGCTGTTATGTTCACTTAAAAAAACACATCACAGTATTCACTTTTACACTGGCAGGCTTTTTATTCCAGCAATGTTCAATGCAGCATCAGGCTATCAGGTGCAAACTTCATTTCATTCCTATTCTGCTGTAGTTTAAAATGTGAAATCCAAAATACTCAGGTTGTACATGTATTTGTAAAGGAGGAGGAGAGGTGGAGGAGATTTTACAAGCAGCCTAATATGTTGGGTACCCAAAGACGGCTTTGTGAAGCCATGAAGCCTAGGATTTGAAACCCAATAACTGTACCTGTTAGCTGATTTGTATTTTGAAAACAAGCTCAAGAATTTGTATCTCAAGAATTTGATCTAAGATGCATTCTAGCCAAACATCTAATCATGGCCTTATGGGAAAGTTTAAAGCTTAGTGAGAGGGGACCCTCCTTGATTTGACATACTAACATGGACATTCAGTTAAGGGATTAGTTTATCCAAATAGGCAATTATATGATGTGTAACAGAATGAGAATTAATTCAAAGGTGATCTCCTGCCCAAAATATAAGTACATTTTTGGTTTGAGGAAGGGATTACAAAGCATTCTGCTTGTGTAAACATGATGAAGGGAGATGAAAGGAAGATGTTTAGGCATTCCGATATCTAAGGAAGCCTTAATAAATCTGTGAAGCTATTATTACCATGTTGTTCTGCTTAACAGGATTAAAATTCCCAATGACATTAAGCAAATGCAATAATAAACCAGTTATGGAAATGCAGTTTTATTCCCTTGCCACCATGAAAGCATCAGGCTAAAGGCAACGTTATAGTCCAATGCATTATAATGAAAAACAAAACTTATTGGTTTTGCTGCATTCTAATTCCCTGGGGCACAAATTCGGCAATGTTTATAGATTCTGCAGAATTGGTCAAAAGGTTTTCTACTCAGTCCTTTCAAACGATGATTGGAAGTTGTTTTTTTTTTTAAAAAAAAATCAATAGCTCTCCCCGGTTTTGATATCAGTGCCAATGACCAGTTGATTCAGGCAAGAAAACTTGCTTGTAGTGATTTCTGTGTTTTAAAAAAATCAGCAGAAAAGCCATAGGCCAATGGTAGAACCCCTGCTTTGCAAACAGATGGTCTTGAGTTGGATCCCTGCCATCTTCAGGTAGAACTAAAATAATTCACTAAATCCTGGAGAACACCCACCAGTCACTGTAAGCTACGATGAGTTAGCCAGATCTGATATACACCATTTTCTTCCATCCGTTGTCTGAAGTGACACAGTCCAAGGACAACTTCATCTGCCCTATCTCCTGGTTCCCTTTTGTAGCATGTTGATGCTGTTCTTTTGCTTCTTATCAAGTTTCAAAGGGACCACCTAATGACACGAAGAACAGATGTTCATTATGCAGCATGCTTTTCTTCCATCATTCTCTCTTTGAAGAAGCCAACCATAAAGCGGCTACTTAGAATCAAGGAAGTCCACTATTAGTTCCTAGAAAAAATGTATTAGATTTTTTTTTTTTAATCTAAAAAGATTTATCTAAAATTTTTGGAAGGCTCAGTGTGAAAGTCAGGCCTACTCTTTAGGCACTACGGAGCAGAAGGTCCAAGCACAAAAAATAATTGGGATGGAAATCTAATATAGGCATTAGCAAGATATAAAGATCTTTTTAAGAAGGTAACTTTATTTCTTTTACTCAGTTTTACAAAACTTATCTTTTATCATCTAAGGAACTGAAGTAGCTAATTCATTTATCGCAGGACAGATGAATTTTCCAGCAGGTTCTGCTCAATCCTCCTGCTTAAATTTCCAAACACATGGCGTGTAGCCATTTGAGGTGTTGAGGCTGACCTCAGCTTTTCTTACTTTAATTATTAGATAGCCACTATACCCCAGGGATATTTTTAACAGGTTTGTTTCAATAATATCACCTATTTTAGTGCTTGTTTTTTCTTATGTGCATAAGAGTTATATATGCTTTTCTCTAAACATTTGCATATGCTCTTTTCCTAAGATATGCAGGCTAATATTCATACTAAAAGTAACTGTTTGGAGTGTGTTCCTTTCGTATCAAATCAAATCAAATCAAACCAAATCAAATCAAATCTATTACAGTCAAAGACCAGAGACCAGAACAAATAAAGCACTCAATGGACATCCAGTTAAAAATTCTAAAATAAAATAATAAATAACACATAAAATCTATATTAAAATCACAATTTGGCATCCAGTCTGTCAGTTACATATGGCCTAGCTATACTATAATATCAATCCATAAACTACTTTGTATAAACTTTCTTTTGTCTATTCCATTTCAGACTTTGGTGGGTGGGGAAATCACGTGAGTGCATGTTTGTATTTTGTTCTGTATACAAATTCTGGAAATGTGAATTGTTTACAAGGAGAACTTCCAACCGCCCATTTCACATTAGTCTGAAGTTTGTATTGTCTCATATTTCTAAGTATCTCAAAAACCAAATCATGGTCTTATTGAATATATTCACAAATCCTTAGGTTGATCTAATATTTGGAGATGCTGGAAGAAATAATGTATATACGCAATCTCTGCAAAATAACTTTGTAAGTTCTTATCAGGTGTGTGTATGAACACGCATGCCAGTCTTGTGTCACAGTAGGTCACCAGGCTAGAAAACAGAAGACTCTAGTTCTGTCTTAAGGACTAACTCAGCAGAATGATTTTGGGCCAGTCACACACACTCAACCCGAGAGAAGAAAGCAATGGCAAATGTTTTACAAAGAAAACTGCAGGGACTAGTCCAGGTGCCCATTAGGAGTCAACCCTGACTTGAAAACTTCTCACTCACCAGCTCTTTTTCCCTCCAAAGTGACATATGTCCTGTCATTTTTAAAGCAAACATGGAATAAATCATATTCACATTTGGTACTTGGCCAGTCTTATGTCAGCTCTTAGTCTCTTAGAGTCTGGCGCAAAACAAAAATGAGAAATGTCTTCTGTGATCTTTGTTAGGGTAGCCTATGACCCTCCCTAATTCCCCTAGCTATTGAGGGATAACTGTGTGCAAAATAGACACACAACATGCGCTCATTAGCTTGCCAAATCCAGAAGTGGCATGCGGACAAAGATGGTTTGAAAAAATGGTCTATAGTCATAGACAAATCCAAACTCTTAACAAGATCCCCCTTTTTGCAGAAAAAAAATCATTCAGTCTTGAGAAATTAATGTTCTATAGTTAAGATTGTCTTTGATTGGACCAGCCAATTCTAGCCAAAAAAGAGATATTGGAATTGTGTGAATAAGGACCTCACAAGTATGTTTTTTGTACCATCTTGAGTTAGCCATCTCAGCTATAGATTGA